CAATGTCTTGGAACTTGGGCAAGAGCCTTGGTCTCTATGCTTGCCATACATACCCTGTTCTCCACACAACATCCAGAACGATGCTTTTACAATGTCAGTTAGGACATGCCACAGTCTTCCAGGGGATCCCCCAGTCAATATGAAATAAATTGACTCTCAATTATTATGGACCAAGACACCCTGATTCGTGTGTCAGTCCTTCTGGTCTTTTTCTTCCTTGGAAATACCAAGCTCATTTCCAACACAGCATTTACCATTGATGTTCCTCTACCTAAAGATCTTTGCTTCTACTCCTCTCATTTTGGATCTCTGCTTAATTACCATCTTCTTTAAAAGTTGCTTACCTGACAACTCTAGTTACATTTTTTTTCTTACCTACAATTATGTCTAAACGGTCACTCTGTTTTATTTTAGTTCATTGTTTATTTTAGTTTATTTCACTACTTATGGAATTTATGCTATAGAACTTTTTGTTCTTATGTTTATTATCTATCTTTCTCACTAGAGTATGACCGACAAAGTGTAGGGTTATTACCAGTGCTGCTGATCACTGTATCTCCAGCACAAATACTAACATGATTAACATTTGATAATGGAAGGACCAGCAGATGGCATAATAGTTATGTCACTGGACTCCCATATGGTCGACCATGGTTTGAGTTCCAGACCCAGCAGCTTAAAATGCACCAGGCGTGTGTGTGTTGAGTGCTCAAAATCCCAAGAAAAGAATGGAGGAGAAAGAATTGCAGTGTGGCCATCTTCGCTGTAGTAATTTCTCACTTTCTGTCACTCCGTCTCTTTGGCAAGTGCATACACCCTATAAGAAAACTCTCTCTTAAAAAAATTTGATAATAGATAGATGGTGAATAGATGATTATCTGTAAGTGATGTGTGAGTATATATGGTGTATAAGTTTAAATATTCTTTCTTTGTTCAAGGTATGTAATTTTCTATGCAGAAGGAAATAAGTTTAGATTGGTAAGAAATTTTTAGATTATAAAGGAACTAATATGCCTAAATTCCAAAAAATTCAGAAGTGACAAGGATTTAGGATGTCCTAATAAACCATCAATGCCATCTAACTCTTCTTCTAGATAAGAATACTAATCTTATGCCATTAACTAAGGATCACACAGCTCAGTGCTGAAATCCAGGTGCAGTTGGTCCTGATTTTATTTGGAAGTTTACCTATACATTTTCTTAAGCTTAAAATCAATACTTATAATGCTTTCTGGGTCAGTTACAGGCATGTACAAAGTAGGAACTTTTGAGCCACCTAACGTTTATCAGTATGTTAGCAGCATTGATGTGTCTTACTGAGAAAATATGTGTATTTGAGAAGCTTCATTTAGGCCAGAGTTGTAGTGCTAGTGGCTGTGATTTCAGTATTAATTAATTGACAAGGTATATTAAGTATCTTTGAAACAGAAACATACATGGGCTAAATAATGGTGTGGTGGTTAGGGTGGCTGGATCTTACATGGTGGACTGTGCAGACCCAGCAACTTGGAGAACAGGCCAGGTGCATGTGTGTGCCTGCCCAAAGTCCCAGAAGGGAAGAAAGTAAGGAGAAGGTATTTTATAGTATGGCCATCTTCCCTGAGGGTGTTTTCTCAACTTTCACTTCGTCTCTCCAGTGAGCACAAGCACCCTCTACAGTGAATTCAAAAACAAACAACAGAAACAGATAAAACAACATTACAAATTATGTATTGATTGGTTGACCAAAAATTTGTGATTACAATCCCGCAGGAAACTAACCCTGTATTTACCTAGGAGCAGTGAATCAGTACTTACTAATTTAGTATCCTCAGTGATGTTATAGGATGTTAATTACTGTGAAAATTGAGAATCAGTAGATAGTTTCTTATTACTTTAGTTGTCATTAGGTAGCTTAATGAATATAGACAGTTATCTATTTATTTCAATTTATTTTGGTTTAATTAATATGTTTTCAATATGCATATTAATATATTTTATATTGAAGATGTGTAATTAAAAATGTTCTAAAAAATTTTCAGTGTTTTGTCATTTGTCTGACAAAGCAAGTTTTTTGCACTGATATGTTTTTGCCTTGTTTTTCAAAAACTATTTCTATTTTGTTTATTCATTCTATTACCCTATTCTCCTTTAGATAAAAGATACATTAAGGTAAACTTGTCCATCATTCCATTAAAATCTACGTATTGAACTTACTTGTCCATGTGTATGTTTCCTTGAATTTATGTCATCTCTTTATTTTTTTTTTTTAGTGCTACTTAGGTTTTCATGTTAGTTTAAAAAGAAAGTCTAAGTGCCTTTTTTGGGGACCAGGAGATGGTGTAGTGGTTACATCATTGGACTCCCATGTAGTATACTATGGACTCACCAGGTGCATGTGTATGAGTGCACAAAACCTCAAAAGGACAATGGAGAAGAAGGGATTGTGGTGAACCATGTCCCCTGGAGGGTGATTTCTTGCTTTCTGTCTCTCTATCTCTCTGGTGACCAAAGGTGACCTATAGCAAAAAACTCTCTCTCAAAAAAAAAAAAGAAAGGAAGAAAGAAGGAAAGAAAGAAGGAAAGAAAGTCTAAGTGCCTTTGTTAATTAATTAATTAATTTCAGGAATCTTTGATCAGAAATGGACACCATTTCGGGGAGTAATAGGATCTTTATACTTCTGTAATCATACCATCTGGGAAGTTCTGTGACCTGAATGTTTACTCCCCCAAAATGCATATGGTGAAAACCTAACCACAAGGTGATAGTATTAGAAGGTGAGACCTTTAGAAAATGACCAGTTCATGAGGGTGGAGCTCCATGAATAGGATCAGTGCCCTCATAACAGAGGCCACGGGAACTTCTACCATGGAAGAACACAGTGAACAGGCACCATCTATGACATTCCTCAGACTCTGGTCTGCCAGTATCTTGGTCTTGGACCTATAAGTCTCCAGAACTATAAGAAATAAATTTCTATCATTTATGAATCATCTCTATGTTTTTTTTCTTACAGCATTGCAAATGGAATGACAGAAAGATTCCTCTTCTCTAGTAGTTACAATATACACTGTTTCCTAAGACCAGTTTATGGAAGTGAGTTTGTAAATAGATCACCACTGAAATTAGTTTGGAAAGGTTTTCTTATTCAGCAGCAGTGCTATTTTTAAAAAGTCTCTAGT